CGAATCCAAGCTCCAGGATGTGCGTAGTCACATTGAGACAGCGAACCGGATCTTGGTGGTGGGCGGAGGTGCTGTGGGCTGTGAAGTAGCAGCTGAGATCAAGTCCAAGTACCCCAACAAATCTGTGATGCTGCTCGAAGCCAACGCGAGGCTGATCTCCGGTAGCAATCTCCGTGACAAGTTCTACGTGAAGCTGAGCGCGTCACTTGCGGATCTGGGCGTCAAAGTGATGCGCAAGGTCGGACGCTCGGCCGAACAGATACCACAGCAGGCATAGTAAGGCAGCGTCTTGGTAGTCACTTGGACAACTAGCGTTAACATACAAATACATAAGCATTCTTTTTAAATCACCCTTTGAGCACGGTGGGGCTTTGGTGATGAAGCCACCACCATCTCGCTTCATACAAAAGTTGTCCAGTGTTTTCCCCATTTTAAGCAACCGAGCCTCAAGTGCGGGTCTGTGCCGAGGGAATTGTTCGAGTAGCCATAGTTTAGCCTGCCGGTAGTATTGCATCGAAGTGTTTCTAGCCAACGGCTTGCCTTTTTTGCCCTCATTAAATGCAAGATACATACCAAACTTATCCATCACTGATACGAAACACTTTCCAGTCTCATCACGTTCAATGCAAGTTCGCACATACTCATCACTTACATTCTCCGTTTTTAGAAACTTCTTAAAAGTTGCCACTGCTGTTGCCTTGGCTCTTTTTGTGTTTCCACACTCTAATTCCGCTAAGCCCATTGCTCTTGTCGGATAAATGCAAAATATGCAAGTGATACGATGTTGACTTGCCTAATATGTTGCGATACATATATTTTTTATATTGCTCCGACCCGATACGTCGGAATGGCTGGCTTACATGACTCACCTAACCTCGTACTGTCTTATTGGTCAAAAATACAAATTACCGGGTTGTGACTGGACGATTATTTGCGCATAAATGATGATTGGCCTATTTATTCCATACAAAATTCAAGTTAGGTCGGATACATAGTCATATTCAACCATGTACATGTAGATGAGCGCTTCGGTGGTAATCCCTACTCGTGGAATACCCTCCGACAAGAATAAACTACCGGCTTAGTCTTGCTCTTCCTCCGGTCCGAAAAGAATGTCATAGCAATGTGGTGGAATAAACATAGGTTTATAACGTGCTTCAAATTGACCAAACCGGGTGTAAAATCAGCTATCAACCAATCAAAACCATCATTAAAATTCATGTTTTCACACTATTTTGAAGTGCACATTCTCATTTCGGACTGGAGGTAGTACATGTAGTTTACAACTTATATAAGAAGAGATCTCACCCTTCCCTCGGACTATAAAAAAAATAATGTCAAAATAAATGACTGTTCTGAGGTGCTTAACTATGTGAAAGTCACTACTGTGCAGCACGTCCAAAGTGACACTTGCTGCTTGTACTTTTCCTTCCTACTTAGCTCAGACTCTCTGCTCTGCATCGTTTAAAGCCCCTGGACACTTCTATCCGCCACGCCCGCTGAATCAGCTCGAATAAGAAGCTTTGCAATCCACTTAATTTGCTCCTTAACATCCGCAGAATCGTGTTCTACAGTACATCATCATTCTCTGCTTACCACTCGCGGGAACGCCCTCCACTTTGTTTTCGGAGAAATCTTCATCAGTGGGGTCGTCGTATACGGTCTCATCTGGTGGATTCAGCGGCTCTGTCACCGTCAAGGCATGTAGGCGCGACAGCATTTTAGCTACATGTAGCTCGTCAAGTAAGGAGTCTTCCTCCTCTGGCTCACTGTATTCGCACGTATACAGTAGTAATCGAGTAGACCTGTGTGTTTCCAGCACTTAGCAAATATCGAGGGTGGCATGGAATTCCAGCAGATACCACCGCTTGGCGAACGTCAAACTTGTATAACTTGGTCGCTTTCGACATGTCCATCGCTCGGTCGGCTCGCTGGATCTGGTGACACCGGTAACGCAGCTTGAACGCAGCATTTGTTCCAGCGTCAAGACCCTGTCGCTTACTACATGTACTGTAGTAGTATTTGACGGTAGGAACGCCACTTCGACATTTAAAATTGTACCAGCGTCGTAGCCCCCATGGACGCTATCATTGTCGACGATCAGCATAGCACTTGCGGTGCTGTGCTCTGAACTTTGTGCCAACGTCTTTGAGACACTTGGCAAAAATCGCCCGAGACATCCATGCCTTGGCGCTGTTCATGTTCCTTAAATGTTTCGCAGTATCCTTTTTAAACTTGGAGTACAATGAGAGATTGGCATGTAGTACCATTTCGAAGGTACACTTCGATCCACCCCACAACAAGAATACCCTTGGATAGAAATAACATGTTCGATACTATGACTACTGAAGGGCCCATCTAAACCAGATTGCCATTTGCCGACGAAAGCATCATTTAATAGCGTACTTTTATTCGCTTTCTTTGTTTATTCCTCGTCTGTATGGTCCCCAGTATCCACACGCAACAATGCACTCACTGATGAATGCGACCCGAGCTGCACGCCTCGTATCCCTCCTCCTTGCCGCCAGAGCCGTCACTCTTAGCATACTGAGCCATGACACGATGCTTCGGAACTTGTAGGGACAGGAACAAGTACGCAGCAAGCTGCAGCACAATCGCAATCAGCGCAAGGGCCGCCACGTCATAGAAACGCTGCGTGTAGTCCATACCCAACGTCTTGATGTACACTTCTCCGTACACCGGAACCGCAGGGTACCCCGGAGCGTCAAACGACAAGATGATTCCTTCCAGTTCATTGGTCATGAGGATCTCGAACGCGTAGCCGAAAATCGACAAGTGTTTGAGCCAACCAACGGCGTCTGGCATCGTCTCGGAGTTAAGCAGGAAGCCTCCGAACAGTAGCATGATCAGCAGCACCACTGTAGCAGCGAGATTGGCAGAGCCCACACGTCTTGAGAGCACACCAACGAGCAGACAGATGGAGCCCGCCGCTACGTTAAACAGCACCAAAGTCAGCCAGAAGAGCAAGAAACGCTCAGCTGAAGCTTGCAGGGCCATGATCCAGTAGAAGATACAGGCAAAGATGGACGCAGGAAGCACTCGAAGCAGCAGCGAGTCGAGCGTCATTTTAGCTAAGAAATAACTGAAGGCGCCGTAGTACATGGCTCCAGTCTCGCGGAGGAAGATCGGACGTTCCGAGATGAATAAATCCATGGAACTCAAGCTTGCGAAGCCGAAGAACGTCAGAATGAAGTAGAAAGCGCCCATACGGTTCTGGAAGCCAGCGAGGTTGTCGGATACGTTGTTGAAGATCAACCCGCCGAATAGAGCGAGCACCAAGCTCAGTACAACATGCTGCACCAGCAAAGAGCGGTGGCGAAGGATGTTCTGCGCTGTACGAGTGAACAGCACGCGAATCTCAGTCATCGTGGACTGCAAGGAGGCCAGCGCACTGGTCGACTCTGAGCCATCTTCCAGCACGAATGGCGCTTCATACGCAGCACTGCCAACTGGCGTCTTAGGAGAAAACTCTTCCGGTTGAGTGGGGACTGTCACTCTATCGGGGGTGACATTCTTCTGGGTAGACTGGATAACAGGCAAGTTGGTGTTGTCGATGGCTACATCGAGGATAAAGTCCGCGACGTTGTCGTCTTCGGGGCATTTGAAGCCAAGCTCGTGGAAGTACTGCTTGGAGTCAGCAGGCTTGCCACTATACAGCAGCTGTCCTTTACCCAGCAACATGATCTTGTCTAGTAGCAGGAAGGACCGTGAGCTTGGCTGATGGATACTCAGAATGACAATACGATCGTGACTGGCCAACTCCTTAATGAGCTTCACAACGGAGTGGGCGGACGAGCTGTCGAGTCCCGAAGTAGGTTCATCCAAAATGAGGATTTGAGGCGAAGTTACCAGTTCCATACCGATACTAACACGACGTCTCTCGCCGCCAGAAATGCCTCGGTCGGACACGGAGCCAATGCGGGAATTGGCAACGTGAGTAAGGTTAAGTTCGGTAATCACGCGGTTCACCATGGCAGTCTTGGTCGAGTCAGTCATCGACATGGGGAGACGCAGTTGCGCTGAGTAAGCGATACACTCGCGGACCGTAAGAGTCGAGAACAAGGTGTCGTCTTGCTGGACGTAGGCAGCGATACGGCGGTATCCTTTGGTCACTTTACTACCGTCTAGTAAGAGCTCTCCCGAGAGCTTGGACGTGCCGTTTTGCATGGCTGCAAGCGCGTTCAGTAGCGTCGTTTTACCTGACCCACTCGGTCCCAAGAGCCCAAGCACTTGACCACGGGAAACGCTTCCCGAGATCTTGTTTAAAATCGTCTTTTGCTCGGTCGACTTCTTGTCGACACTGGCAAAGCAGCTAATGTTACGGAACTCGAGCTTCTTGGCTGAGTGTGACGATACCTTAAGTAGTTCCGTCTCGAGGTCCTCTTCTTTCTGGCTGCTGCGAGCGCCCGCCACACAGCAGCAGAACGAGAAGCACCCGAGAAGTAACAAGGCCGCGAGGGCCGCACAGGCCACGACAGCCAGCACCTCCCCACCCGTGTCGGTACCGTCCTCTGTACTCGCTGTACTCAACGTTCCACTGCTTTGAGTAGCGTCGTCGCTTCCAGTAAGCTCACAAGCTGAGGCGTTGCATGTAGCGGACAGAGGGAGCGGTGACCCCTCAATTACGATAGTGAGCACTTGAGACTCCTCAACTTGAATTTTCGCAGGTTTCCCACTCAGCGATCCCTCAACTAGGGATTTGGACAGGGCCGAACATTCGGAGCCACATTTACAGTTGATCTCGCCACATTCTCCATTGGCACTACCGGTAGTGAATGAGCACTGCGTCATGTTGCAGTCGATGACATGCTCACTGTTCACCGTCTCCTTGGCCTTGTAAACCGCAGCAATGCAGTTGCCGTCGCCCTGGTCGTCTCGTTCACAGCTCACATCAATAGCGCCGTCCGGGAAAAGAACTTGAAGATCGCTCGACAGCTTGCAGGAGTACGTTTTGCCTAACGAGTTGGCGTCGTAGATGAGCCCCGTGGCGCACGAATAGCCGCTGCCTAGAGCAGAGCTACAAACATCGGAGGCATCTTGGTCGGTGCTGGCAGTGCACATGCGACACCCAAGGCCACTGAAGCCTTCGCGACACTCGCAGTCTCCAGACTCGCCGAGTTGCCCATAATCCGAGTCGCATGTTGCATCAATTGCAGAAGAAGCTTGCACTACTGTCGACAGCAGTCCCAGTGCCAGAAGAAGGCGAAGAGACCGCATGAGTCTTAATTCTTATGGGGATAGATCGAGAATGGTAGACATGGAAGACGTACACCGCTACAAGAAACATGGCAGATAGGACGGAGGAATAGAAGAATGGCTGGGCGATTGGGAAGAACCTGTATCCGATTTGCCTATGACTGGCTACGACAAGGTTCCAAAACCACCACAAAAACTGAAAAACACCATGCGAGCTGACAAACACAAGACCACGTGTTTTTATCACATAAAAATATTCGGGCCCACCACAAAATCACAGGCGACACAAAAATCTGTAAATAATCATCCCATAGTGTGTTTCAGCACAAAACGATTCTTTTCATCCAGTCATATGCCTCTATTTAAATGATTTTACCCAATCATATCACGCCATCCGTACCCAAAAGTACAAGATGACTGGTCTAGCTCGCCCTAGAGCTTGCAGTTTTGAACGCTCTTTACTTTCAAACAAGCTTCCAACTACCTAGGCCACCCACCAGCTCACGTCGTGCACCGATGCCCAGCTCACACACCTGGAACCTACTCTGCAGCGGCGTTTCGTCTGAAGACGCTGCCCTCCTTCTCCAAGGAATGAAGACTTGGAAGACGGTCAAAAGTCAGCTGATGCCGTGCACGGCTTGTACCAGCGGTGATGCGCACACAATACGCTACAAGCTTCTACGCTGCGCCTGCAAGCACTGTACGGATGCGGTTCCCTACCTGGCCTGCACCTGGCGGATGAAGGTCTTGGTCTGCCAGGATACAGACACCGTTGACATGCACGAGCTAGGCGACCATCATTCGCGTGCGCGAACGCCATCCAGGTCATGCATTACGCCGAGGTGTCGCGAGTTCATCAAGGAGCTCGCCCGTGAAAACCTAATGCCGGTACGCATCCGGCACGCTTTGGGACGCAAATTTGATCTCCCTCCTGCAGAATTACCCAGTCTGCGAGAGGTGCAAAACATCGTACACCACTTTCGGCGCACGCGGCTTGGTGGAAACGATAAGCGCAAGGCGATCGTGGAGTCGGTGAGGGCCTCAGCATTTAGTGGACGTGAAGGTGACCACGACCCCTTCACGTTCACTAGTGCATACGACACGAATAGCCTTCCTGAGGTTGGGAACGGCTCAGATGCTCGGCCGTTTCTAGTAGGAATGACGACGAAGGCGCTACTTCGTAACGCTGCAAGAAACAGCGGAGCCTGTGTCTTGCACCTGGACGCAACGTTCAAGCTGAACAGCGTCGGGTATCCAGTCCTCGTCTGCGGCATTACCGACGCCTCCAGGACGTTTCACCTAGTAGCGCTTTTTATCACGTCACAGCTCCAGTACAAGCATTTCGTGGCCGCGCTCGTTGCATTGCGTTGTGTATATGCCAGGGTTAACGGAGCAGAGTGGCGAGTGAAATTCGTGCTTGGTGACGCGGACAAGGCACAACACAAGGCCTTCCGCAGTGTCTTCGCTGACAGCTCATTTACGTACCTTATGTGCTTTTACCACATGGTGGCGAAGTTGCGTGAGCGTACTCGTGGTTTCAGCTCAGATATGTCTGCATTGGTATACAAGGGCATATACAACTTGCATTTTGCGCAGAGCGATGCCGAATATGTCGACCAGAAGGCGGCTATGTTGAAGGAGTGGGCTGGACACGCGGATCTCGCTGCCTTCACCATGTACGTGAAAGCCCAATGGCTTGAAGCTGGCAGTGCTTTCTGACGCCATCCGGGTATGCCACTACCAACAACCCGGTTGAGCAATTCAACCGAGTGCTGAAACGGGACTACACTCACCACCGCCAGCTGAAAATGGGAATGCTGCTCGCCCAGCTACTCGCATGTTGTGGCCACCGCTCAATGGCGTTGCCTCAGTTCTCGCTCGTGTCCACCTGCTCGACGACGCTTCAGACACGCACACGGGGGCTTCGTCGCCGCGGACTGCTGAGTGAGAACATCGTTACCAGGTCCAGCATAGACTTTCTCCTTGGCGACGCTGACTCTGACCTCGTACACGTGCGCGCGCTGCCTCCCGCGAGGACGTTTGTCACAGAGCTTAACCGCGCGAGAGAAGATATGGCGATTTCTGCTCAGTTTGGTGTCCACTACGCGCGCATGGAGGTTGAGGGCCAGCCTCGTACTGGCTGGCCGGTCGATCATCGGACTGCATACTGTCCCTGCAAATACCACTTTAAAATGGGGTACTGCTGCCACTTGCTCTTTGCTCAGCAGTCACGAAGCGTTGTGGATGAGGCTGGCGAGGAAATCCTTGTGAACAGGAAGCGCGTTCAAAAAGCTGGACGCCCGCAAAATATCGGTCACGCTCTGCAGCGTCTGTAAATAACAACAACATCAACAAATATTTCCTTTGCTCACATGGCTTCATTTGTTTAGCGGTATCTACAAAGCAATGTACTAAAGCACAAATACATAATATGTTAGCGTTTGAAGGCTCGCATCACATTCGGAGCAATGAGCTGTTACCTTATAATTCCAGAGGGGCAGTGGCCCCGATCCCAACAGCATGCATATCCCGAGCGCGGTAGGCAACCGACGATGCCATCAACCTCCAGCCACGAGCCAGTCCCCGTCGTAAGCCGAAGGCCTCCCACAGCACGCTTTACTTCACCTCCAGAAGCCTGTCAGCATAAAGATCACGTGCAACAAACCACTGGCGCGCACCCTACCTCCAGACGCAAGCAGCTCTGACCACGTGATGTAGATCAGCGACGACGCGCACCCTAGCTCCAGACACAAGCAGCTCTGGACACGCGATGTAGATCAGCGACGACGCGCTCTACAGTGTGCTACAGGCCACGCCTGCTCAGCCACGTGCTCCGCCCTACGACGCTCGAGTTACTGAATGGTGAGTGGCCCACTCCTGTTGGTGGGGGAGGTGAGACAATTTAACCTAGCCCTTCCTACAACAAGACCGTCTTGAAGACGTGGGTCGTCTCTGTCCTGGTGCTGTGTTGGATTTTATGGTGTTTGTCAGGGATCTTATGGTGTTTATGATATTTTATGCTGGCTACCTGACCAGCATGTTGTATCAATTTACCGTCTGTATCCACAGTAAAAACTCACGAGTGTTATTCGGTTTTCTATTGTTACGATAATTTGTAGAATAAACGGAACGGCTTACGGACATTTTAGAATAATCAACTTGTAACTATTGCAATAGGAAGTGATTAAATAATTTTACCGTCCTCGCAGCAAATTTCAGCACTGTGACAGAATAATTTGCAAGCTAGCTAATCACTCACCCGAGATGCAAAATGGTAGCATTTGCTTGAACGGATGAGAGAAACTGAAGGTCTAGACAAGATAAGAAATACTTCTGCTTCAAACAAAGTTACATTGGCAGCTCGCTGAAACCATTGTCTTGGTCGTACTAAATAAAATAAAAGAGCTACGACGATCGACGGAATACGAACAATACTTGTCAGTACATGTAGGGTTCGCATAAATGATGAGATTACGCACAGAATGGTTACACAGTAAACACACCCAAACAGGGCCAAAGCTCGCGTCGAAGTTTACTGTGCATACTACTTTGAAGTACATATGCACATGTTTAATTTAGACCGCATCTAGGATGAGTTTACGCACAGAATGTTCGCACAGTAAGCACACCTAAACCCGCTGAAGTACACTGTTTTTATACAACGTGGATCCGACATTGGGTGCCTGCCAAATATCACATAAACGACCGACTTACTTGCAGCAGATAAGTCGTTCTTCGAAAAGATATATGGCGGCTTATTGTAGAAACGCTCTACCACAATTAACATTCCACTACTTTATTCGTCCGGCCGAAATTGTCCTACCGAGTGTTTTGCAGTATTCGTGAGCTTTTATCTACAAATGTACCCGACATTTTGCTCGGGACACCACGGCGGGCCCACTCCCCCTCATCTTTTATTTTTTCACTTTTGAATCAGCTCTAGCCAAGCACAAGCCACCAGGCGTTGAAGCTAGTGTTGTGCTTCTACGTGGGATCAATAGAACAGAGCACCTTGTGCTTGGTGTTTGGCATACCACCCAGCACGCTGTCCCGAGCGCTACGTCGAGCAGAGGAGGCTCTATCCTCTACACTGAAAGGGTACGCACCCGCGAGAATCGCGTGGCCGTCTCCTCTTCGGCAGGTCGAGTTGGCGAAGCTGGTAGAAGCCAGGGAGCCCCTCCTTAAGCACACTTTCGGCTTCATCGACGGAAAAAATTTGAGGGTGCGTTCAGACGAAATGCATATGTGTATTGATAGTTATTTAAAAATACTATGATAGCTGACTATGGATACGTTTTGCCAGCCTGCAGATTCAGCAGCCGTCTAGTAGTGATCTACAAAACGCCTTGTACAACGGCTGGCTGCACACTGTATTCGTCACCGGGACAATATTTGCAGCCGACGGTTGCATCGTCTGGTGTAAGCATAATTGCCCTGGGTCCTGGAATGACTTTGACACTTCACTCGGGTTCCGCAACAAGCTGCTGGATGTGATCCACTGCCCTGACCTCCGTATGAATGTGGTGTCAGACTCCGCGTTTCCTTGTTCGTCATCCATGGCTGGCCGCATCTTGACCCCGTTGAAGGACGGGGATTTGGAACGGATACTACCATCAATTCGGAGCTCCGCCCGCACGATTCACAACGCCATAACGTCGGTGAGGCAAGCTGCTGAGTGGGGCATGGGGAGCATTCAGAATGTGTATCACCGTCTGAATCTCCCCTTGCCGTACGACCCAGAGCTTCGCGGAGTCAGGCTCAACAACTTGTTCCGGATGGTGAACTATCGGGTACGAACCGTTGGTATCTCACAGATCGGAACGACTTTCCTGGGGGATAGTGAAGGTTACGAAGGCTGACTAGTTGCTGGTTAATTGGTGCATTTTTCGAGGCTTAACAAGTTGAACAACACTACTGAAATTAGATATAGAACCTCGCTGTCGTTGAGCTTGTCAGGCACATCGTCGTCATCCTACGCCTTCTTCGTAAGAGCTCCGATCAACAGGAGCAGCTCTTGAGTGCGAGCACGCGCTTCCTCGCGATCTCGACGTACACGCTCTTCCATGTCTTGCTTCTACGCACGACGACGCTCCTCAGCCTCCACTTTCTCAGCTTGACGGCGCGCCTCCATGGCTGCCAGTTCATCGCGGCGACGTTGGTCCTCCTCCTCGCGTCGGGCTTCGGCCTTGCGCTCCTTCGCGCAACAGCAGGATCGTTTCCATGAAGCTTCCACGGTTGTTGTTTGCAGCATTCTCGAGATCGTCCAGCTTCTTCTTTAATGCCGAGGTCGCCTTCATAGCACGAAGCCGTTTTGTTTTGGCAAAGCTGGCTTCGTGAGTGTCGTCGTCGTCCTCATGAGCACGCTTGGCGCCCGTCAAGTCGCGAAACACGGCCAAATCTCCTCCGCCAAGGCGGTTCGAGCGACTGCTCATCTCTGGGTATTTTGCAGCTTCGATCTCGCCCCGCGTTCGGGTGTCACGCCCCTGACTCGTCTGTGGCTGCGCGGTGGTGTCGACATTGGACCGAGTCTTTCGCGGCGGCTGTAGACCAGCGGAGCCAGGGCGACGAGTTGGCGGTGTAGGACGGGGTGTATTGGCAGCTCCGTCGAGACTATTAGCAACGAATGGCGATGACAGCAAGTCCTGAAACTCGCCTCCGCTCATTTCCGCGGACCCCAAAGTAACAGACTCGTCCGTGGCGGTGTCGGTAGCGATTGGCTCACTCCTCACAGACCCAGCATGTGCGACGCGCAGGATGGACGGATCGTCATCTTCGTAGAAAGTTTGGTCAGGTTCAACGTCGAAGCTGAAGTCGGGCTCCACGGTGCGTTGATCTACGTCCGCTTCGTCGTCAAGCTCGATGACGCTGGCCTTGTCGTCAATTGCCTGCTTGGCCTCCTTTGCTTTCTCGATGTGTGGTGGCATGCTGGCCACCCCCGTCGATTTGCGTGTGCTGTATAGCACTTTAAACTTCCGACGAAGGCTTTCGAAGTCGCGTTCAGGTGCTCCACGCGGTCGGTTCGCGTTGAATGAGACCGCGAGGCGCTCCCATTCATCCTTCCCCAACGGCAGAACCTTCATAACGAGACTCAGCATGCGATCGATGTCGGCCATGGAATAGTTGGTGGTTCCTGCGTTCCTGACCATATCTGTATGGCACAACAAAAACATGTTAGTCAAGGTGCGGTTTCAAAGACGAGAGGCCGAGCGGCTGCATACTGATCGAAGGTGGAGGTGTTGAGGGCTTCTTCGGAGTGAGGAGTTGCTTGGCAGGAGGCGAATTGAAAAGTGAGAGACGCAAGATCCTGGTCGGCGCAGTTCGAACCTACAGAAGAAGCCGCTAGAGCCACCTATCTTTTGCCTTGGATCTTTAAAAGCCATAACTGCAACTTCAACGCGGTTCGCGCGGGAAATCTGCGCGCGAAACCAGTAACGAGTAGCTTGAACGCTACAGCAGAAGACAGAGATGGCGCAAACGCTGAATCCAAAGCAACTTCACGCCGGCTGTCTAGGCTCACGTTCGAATTTCACTCGGTACAACTATAAAATAAAAACGAAGCTAAACGAAAGATACTCAAATTGACTTCAAATACACCTGCTCGCTAACTATGGCCTTCACTTTGCCGCCCACTTTTCACGGGTCGTCCTCATCCTGCATGTCCCGGTGGCGGCACCCCTCGAAGCCGCACCGGCAGATAAACCAGAGATTATCGCCGTAGTCGACCGTCACCTCCTCCCCGCGGCGAATCACATGAGTGGTGGCCACCACAACAGTGGTGTGACGTCCGTTTGATACTTCCACAAACTTGGCATTGGGACGACATGAATGGTTGCAAAACCGCATTAGACCCCCCATCTTTTGCGCGTTGATGACCACGCGGGCGGGGTGGCTTGGACGTGCGGGACGCTGGTTCAGCTCAAGCCGGTATCCTTCGTTGCACGGGCGCTGAGAACGTGGCACATTGATGTGCTCGAGCTCACCCAAATACTGCCCCACCACCTCCCCCGGCCTGATATCCTCACCCGCCACGACGCCCAATACCTTCGTCCGCGTGTTCTTCCCCAAGAACACCTTGCTCGACTCAGTCAACTTGTTTCCGCATCGCCCTTCGTACGAGCAATTATTCACGTTGCAATACAGGTTGACGAGTGAATTAGGGCACGAATCAACTCGGCACGGGTTCGAACAACCGCACCACCCGTAGCTCGGCACAAATAAGAAGATGATAGCCTGAGGATTGAAAGTCTCGCGCAGGTGGACAACGTCCCATGGCCATCGAGTAGGCACAAACACGTCGTCCGGCTCGGCCATCTGTAAGAGCGAATGCAGTTTCTTACAGGCGGACGAAGCTTGTGGTTTGGAGTTGCGATACGTTGAGCGCTCCCTATTGTATGGCGCAGCTGCTCGTTGATGTTTACTCCGGGCACCATAACGTGCCGTCGGGGCCCTTTTCGCGCAGCGACGCGGTGGTGGGTCCTCCAGAAGCACTGGGGATGAAGTGGTCGGGCTCCGGTAGTGACGGGTTAATGTTTTCGTTGGTTGGGGTGCTGTACCCACCGGTGATGGGCCTTTATTGCTCTTGGTGCGAGCGCTACGGGTGTCGAAGGGACTCCTAACGCTCTTGAGCTGAGCGCTACGGCTGCCAGGAGGGATACAGGGCGATGACATTGTCTGGGTTGTGCTTGAGGACAAGCTTTCACCCAGCTGATAGCTGAACATGACGCTGGGCGGCGAATTCTCATCGCTGCTGGAGGATTCTTCGACGCGCAGCCGCCTTCGATGGACTGCAAAGTATACATGATTTACCATACGTCTGCAAAGCAAATGTGCGTCAATTCAATAAACTTACAGCACATTCTAAAAGCAGCAACAAACCTTTTGAGCACAATGCTGCTGTGGTGTCTCCGCCGATTTGAAAGTGATTGAGTGCTGGGTGCATCGGAAGATATAGGCTTCAAGGTTAAGCCGCTGGAGTGAGTGTGGCATACGCTAGAGTGATGGTAATCATATAATATACAAAAATCAATATAAAACGCTAAGATGGATACACAGCATAAATTTAGGTGTAGGGGAGTCTATTGACACGATATTTATGACTTCGGGTCGGGTATGCGCACCTATGCCTCGACTTATCTGCTGCAAGTAAGTCGGTCGTTTATGTGATATTTGGCAGGCACCCACTGGTTCAGGACTCAGAAAGGCGCAGTATTTATTGTTGGCACAGTATCGAACGGAGACCGTGACAGCTCGTGTTCCGTCAATACAATACAAAAAGATGTAGCGCCAATGCGTCACTCTGTTTTGCCTATCAGTATGTGAGTTTTGAGTAGATAACCTGGTTTCGTATTGCCTCCACATGCACAATTTTTCACAGTATTGCACTCGTACAGTAATTGGCCGATTCCGTAATTGGCTGATTCCGGACGGAATCCGGAATGGTGCCCAAACGATTTGATTGAAATTGAAGCAATCAAATCGATTCAAGCTACGAAGGATTATTCACTCCGGACAGACCAACCAATTCACATAATTTGTGGTTGGCAGAAGTTTGATAAAAAGAGCGACCTGGAGCATGAATTAAATTTTATTTTGATGGCGCGGTTAAGTGGGATAGGTCGACGGCATCAGTGCGTAATCTAGTGGACAGCTGGTGAGCGAGTGTGGAGCGGTCGTGGAGGCGGCGGCGACGGTGGCGCTGGTGGTGGGCGAGCGAGCGTAAAGGACGAGCGGCACGACGGCGGTGAGCGAGTGTGGAGCGGCAGCGGGTGGTAACGAACCATCGCGATTCGGGTGGGTATATGGGAGGGCGAGATGCTGTTGATATTGATGGCAAAAGTGTACGTGTTCGGCGCGCGCCATACAGCGTGGCGGTGTAGTGTGGGCGACGGTCCGATGTGAATTCGTGGTGGATCTCTTGCAAGTTGGTAGAGTTGGATTGGTGCGGTGTGAGTACGTGCGCGATCTGTCCACCGTGGCCAGTTACCATCCCGAGAGCAGGAGCTAGTACTTCGCGGAGGTGAGCCTGGAGCACGGGTGCTGGACAACGGGGACCTCGAGATCCTCGAAGACATGATCGTGGTGGTGGATGGCCAGACCCGAGCAACCTGGCCAATCCGCTCTAAGTCAGGCGCTAACATCCTGCCGGAGAGCATCGACCAGTGCAAGGGCTACAGCGCATTCGCGGTTCTGCTGGACTCGCTGAACGTGGACCAGCCGGACGGAGGTGACGGATCTGATCTCGGCTCTGGAGTTAGTGCAAGAGGTGTGTGTAGTACCTGGTTCTTGTCCCTCCCTGTTACGTGCTGTCAGATGCTGGTATGCTTGTGGGTTCGGACGAGAGCCATCTGGAGGATTACCTGAACAGCAACGCAGACAAGATGTCGCGCTCCCTCGCCGTGTCCAAGGTCGTCGTGAATGCTAAGGAGATCACGTTCGACAGTTTGGCGAAGGACGGCGCCATATCCATCTACGCCACACGCCAAGCACGCCCGCGTACTCTCTGGAGACGCCCAGTCCAGCAACTGTGTACGTGGGCACGATCAAGCAGGTAGCACCATCGCACAGGCGCTTAACGTCACGGGCCCGTTTACTTCGTACTAACACCACACCCAGGCAATTGCCCGGGCTAACGGCATCCTGCGCGCCTGTATCAACTACGTGGACGTCAAGGCGCCGCTGTTCTCGTTCACGCGTCTGCACGGCGCTGGTCCGAGTATGGGTGTGGAGTTGGGTTCGACCGGTGAGATGGCCCGCTCGGCACGGGCATGCACGAGGCGCATCTGACGCGCTGCCGTGTGCCAGCTTCACGATGCCCATGGATATGGTGCTGATCTCGATCGGCAATCAGGACATCAAGCACGAGTTTGCGGAGGGAGCTCGGGTCCGGTGAAGTTGCGTCGCTGAATCAAATGCTGGCATGTACATGTAGTAGCTAAACTAAATGTTTGACTAGGATGCTTGTCCTTACATGTTTAGATATCTATTGACAATCAAACGCTGTAAGAAAAATATTTTAGTTGCACTGTAATTAAGTAGCCTATTAGCGGCGGGGTGTCAAACACGGAAGTGTACAGCCTTCAAGCTGCAGTTTCATACTAGTAATGCTACGATGGCGCTGAAGCCCATGCTCGCAACAGCGGTCCGTCACAAAGTGCAATTATCCAGCAAGTGCTCCTAACGTGCTAGATTTGTATTGCCCTTTATTCGATAAGACGCAATGATTCCGGACAGTTCCGGAAATAAGTTGGAATGCTAAACACCTAGCCCTAGTGCGATGAGATTGGCTAAATTCATGGATTTTGGTTCATTTCTGTAGTCTCATTGGTGCGCTCAGTTATTACCTTTCTAAGAGGGTTCGGGTCTCCGGACCGAAGGGACTTATCCTACAGTAAGTGCAGTAAGAGGCCGCAATTTGCAGCGTAGCAAACGGAAATGAACACTCAGTCACTGAGTCAGTGTGTCATCAGTGATTTGCAAAAGAGCCCTCAAGTATAAGGATTTGTACACCCCGTTTTCAACGTGTCTGGTTTCAAACCGCTGGTGATTACAGTATTAGTCACATCACTGGTCTACTCGACTTGAACGTCAAAGACTTAAGGATACGACATTCTCAATTTCCGAGAGCGGAGCACAAGTGCTGCATGGACTTCATTTATTCCGGTCGACCCACTGACAGAGATGAAGATTTTACAGGAGTTGTAGAATTTGCAAATAGCATCGTCGATGCTGATAATCATCTGCCGATACCGATTGACGAAGCTTGCTGGATCATCGACAAGACGAGTGCAATTGAAACTACAGCTTGCTCCAGTGTTAAGTGCCCGCAACTTCAGTCAGCGGCATCGTATGCGCGAGTCACGAAACTAAGAGCAAACTATACAGCGACCGAAAAGATCCTTAAGCTGAGTGAGAAACGGAGGCGTCACCTACAAGTTCTGAAGCGATATCTGAGGAGCCCAACCGACTTCACAATTCTCCTCAAAACAAGCCTTCAAGATCTGCGGAATGAGATCGAGACTCTCGAATACCACCGTCAGCACCTACGTATGTCTCGAGCAGCAAATCCACCAAATGATGTATGGCGAGCCGCGGCAGAATACTTTCGATTGATTTGTCATGGACTTCATCTCACCACCAATCAGCTCGGTATTATACGAGATATTATGAATCCTGATGTCGTTTTCAACTCAGAATACGGTCCAGACCCTATCATGCAGCACTGGTGCTTCATGGACTGGTTCGGCGACGTGAACGTGGAGCTCGAGGGGTGGGAAATGTTGGAAGGGATGGCGCTCGTTGCGCTCACAACCACCCGCGTGACCGTCACGGCAAACACTCGGCGCACGTGTTTCCTCACTTGCGCACCATCGACAACAGTGACCGGAACGGTAAGCTAGCAGAGCAGCTTCTAACCCAACAGCTTGTTATGCACGGATCGACAGGTTTTGAGTGGGATGACTCGACTTGCCGGTTGACGAGAGTGATATCCCAAAGCGACATGATGACGCCAATGGTGCAGATACTTGACAACCTGGAGGACGTATCTCGAGTGTTTGAGCAGGCACTCATTTCCCCGGAATTACAGTGGAAGCAAACGCTGTATCAAAACACCTTTCCTCTGCAATGCAGAAGTACCCAGCTCCCACCTATGCCTCGCCTTTATTAGAAAAAAAAAATGTGCTACGTAACCCAAAACAAAAACAGGGATTAATTCCGAAAAAACTTGATTACGATATGGGTACACTAAACTAATGATATTAAAAGTGACTACATACATGTATTACCACAAAAAAGAGATCCAGAACATAAACTTATTTTATGTACATGTATTACCACAAAAAAGAGATCCAGAACATAAACTTATTTTATGTCCGCAACTCCGGCTATCCAGGAAGAGCACGTGGATACAGCGTTAAATAACGCCGTCCAAACGAACTTTTAATTCCAATGCTTTTCTGGGGCTGTAAATCAGTTCCAAATCTTACGCAAAATGAAACGCAGTACAGGCAGACAGAAGCGCGGGCCCAACGATGCATCTGAGGAATCCGCATACGACGACGTGGACGAAGACGACGCTGTCGTTGTCGAATCAAACACAAGCGCACACCAGCCTCCATCTTCGCCACGTGCACTTCAGTCCAAGTCTACTGGATAAAACGTTTGCATCGATCACCGAATTTGATTCATATTTCTCTACGTATTGTATCAGTTTGCTGTAGACTGTATACGGAATGTGGCATTTTGTATCCGTTTGTGGTACTTTGTTGCAGTTTGTATCAGATTTTATATTGTGTTCTGTAAGTAGTTGTGTCATTTTTAAATTATTTCTAACTTGAAATTGTTTGAGCTGTGTCTCTCTCGGATTACAAGCGAGATAATGAGATAGTCTTTAAGTTTGAAATCGGTCGAAAAAGTTTGTATCCATCATTGGCGGCGAGCTACATACGAAGTATGGAGACGTGGTTCTAGTTGCGAAGTACTTTTAGCTGGCTAGAGAAAGCTATAGTGTGGACTCAGTGCGTATACCGAAGACTGTAATTGTGAAGGCTAAAAGGGAAAGAAACACCCACGTGGTCGTGAAACCGATCGATATCCACATGATCAACTCCGTAATTCTCATCATCACAGAAATGAGTAAGGGTCTCGCACACCCTATCCGTGACAGTACTTCCCGCATCGCCTTCGCGATTTAGCTTGGCCAGGAGATTGTGAACATCGGCTCTGAATCAGGGTTGTCCCAGATGTACTTAAGGATTTTCTTTGTCGGAACTCCGATTTTGCGTAGCTTGTTTACTTCATCCAGGTCCCCCGGGTTGAGGCGTATTCGATTACTTGGAATTTGCTCGTATTCTGTTTAACCAACCATGTGGCTGTGTGACGCAGTGTGCAGAAAACCTACGAGGTAGCTGGAGGAGCGACAACTTTTATTTAAAAACAAAATAAACGTAAGCACTAAAAATACTTGACGCAATCAAATTACCTTAGCTTTGCAGCCAAGAGGCCTAACGTTTTGACGAGGCCTCTTCACTGCATTTTTTTCCGTGAATTCCCGGCGTGAGTGCACAGGAAGTTGACGCCATAGTGAGGAAACCCCGCGTTTTGAAGCAGCTCTGAGTCAGGCGCAGCCTTCCCTTAGTGCGCGTATTTTCTTGAATTGTTTTATTTCTTCTGTCTCGAGTTGTGGATGCTCGTTTAAAATAGTTGTAACCGAAGCAGAAATTGACAATTCATATGCTCTCTGCTGCCTACGTTAACCAGGTTTTGTACCTGAAATGTCCTTTCGCAAGGTGACAGACATTGAAGAAGGCGTTTCTCCCTCTTCTGAAACATAGCAGAAGATGGAAGAGAGTGGTGAGTCGCGAATATCAGCAGGTAGACGGTTCTAGTTGCGGAATTTGGGTGCTTGCATTTATCGAGAGCTACATTTACGACATGTACGAAGCTCCTGGTGACGCAGATTTCCTGCGATACAGATACTTAGTGAAGGTTACGTTCGCCAAGTAGTTGAATCGATACGTATTTTACATAAAATAACACAAGAGTAAAGTTTTTTTTGCAAGCTGTGTAAAGCTGGTGCTCAGAATGTGCTTCTGTCTCTACTTGTTTCTGCTTCTTCTTTGCGGAACTTACGATGTATAACTACGCTCAGTTTGTGTAAGATTGTACTTTTGCACAAACAAGAATGTAGTAGATTGTACTATTTTATACACATTTGTACAAACTGAGTACAAGCCCATCTGGAACCGGCTCTTTATTTTGTACAGTCGTGCACCTCCAATTCGACAAGGCGGACCATATCAACAGTGCCAGGGCATAGGTGCACAACGTAAAGAAAAAAAACACGCAAATCTAGTGCACCGATATTTTATTTGTTAATTCAGTACAAAATTTACGCCAATCTTCTGCATAATCTTGGCGTCAGACGCGCGAATCGCGGGCGCGCAACAGCGCTTCCGGTCGCAATAGGCGTCCGGCAAGGCGGCAACTTCCGCGGACCGCTTAAGAATACTCTGGACGGTAGTGCGCTTTACTGCTTCGGGGGTCTTAAAGCGCTCCGTCGCCCAACGAGCAAGTTCGGAGTGAGAGCATGCAGGATCTGACTTGTGCTTCTCGCACAAAGACTGCTTTTGTGGGACATGTAGGAGGAAGGGCGATGTCCCATTGTCTTTGGCGGTAAAAATCAAAGTGTGTGTTTGTAAGAAGACGTCCGATCCAAAATTTAAAATCCAATCGATGCGGCGTGTCATCCCTCGGCGAGGAGGGGAAAACCGTTGAGGTTAATTGCTAGGGTGGTGATGGGCAAAGGTAATTGCGCATCCGATTCGCGTAATCATAAAATCTGGCAGGGTATCGACTGATACCGGTGTCGAATTGAAGGTGCACGACTGTAATAATAGTCTCTGTCAATGGAATATCATTGGCTGGCGAGGAGGTCTAGCTCTATATATGTTTTACAAATTTTAAGTCAAATTCAGTCAAATACAGGCAGCAGTACATCATCCTGGCTAATATTCTTGTAAAGTTGGTACAGACCAAATTGAAAAGTACCTTTTTCTGACACTTGAGTATGCTAAGCTCCTTACTGACGCTGCAAACAACCGCCCTACACACAACAGTGTAATCCAGAGCTTCTCCGTGGCCGTGAAACACGCTTTGTCCAGCCATAGGTGTAGACCTACCCTCTCCTTCTTAGGACCAACGGCATCGTTCGCGTCAGCGAGATATTCAGAAACTCGGATACGAAAATGTCATAAGGCACAAATCCCGAAATGTCCATGACCATTTCTCCGGTGCTTCACGTAAAGTATGCAGGTAGAGTTGCTGTACACGACGTCGTATCACTGGCAAGCTCGCCAAGCATTACGCGTGGAAGTACTAAATCAGGAGCTGACTTAGTACTTTGGAACGCTTCGCGAGCCAGGTAGGCTTGGGGAACGCTTCAAGAATTCTACAACCGGACGACGCTGCACAATCGTGTTACGATGACACGTCGCCTTCATGAGCTTAAGTTGAAACGTGGAACGCCTATGGTCAAGCATCGGGACGCGTTCGATGAGCTAATTGCTGGTCTTCAGACGCTTGGAGAGCCAGTGGACGAGGCATGCCAGCTCGTGATATGGCTCAACTTTCTCCCTGATGAGCACGAGCTCATCACGTCCATCGTGA